CATGAAAACTGTGCTATGAGCAGTACTGTGGTGCCAAATAAGCCTTCATTGATGAGGTTAAACAGGGTGTTTTGACAACTATATCAGTTATGAGATTCATGTAACTGTTTTATTCTTTCTAAAGGCACAAAATTCTACGTGAACTACGTCTATCTCCAGTTCAAGTCTCCGCGACCGCACGCGATGGTAATCTATAAGAAGGTGGATGATGATGCGCCCTGGACACCGTGGGCCTACTTCTCTAGTAATTGCTTAACTTACTTCAACATGACCTACGAACCCATGCCAACCTTCTTGAGACCTGACGACGTCATCTGCCGCGAAGAATACTCCACCCTTCAGCCTCTTTACGATGGTGAAGTCATCTTTTCTGTTATCAACGGCCGACCAGGCACGGATGACTTCTTCCATAACCCTATACTTCAGGTTAGTGAACTCACCATCACAGGTTTTGGATATATTTACTAAATAATGTAGCAAGGTTGTAGGCTCACCGATAGAGATGGCTTTGGAGCAGATTCATCTTAGATTAAAGATCTACTTACTGTGATATCCCGATGCAAAGCTTGCTAGGATATGTATTCGGACGGGGATGCATTAATGTGAGTTTGTGTCTCTTAATACTAGGCATGGAGCACGGCTAGTCAAATTAAGGTGGAACTGCAGAAGATGCACACATTCGGTGATGAAGCTAATGCCGAAAGAGACACTCTCTTAACTTACTACTTTGCGATTCGCAAATTTACTGTCGGTGGTCGGTAAGTATGACTTCCCTTCTTGCGTATTTAACTCTATGCCTTTTACCACTGTCTAGTGTTATTAGTATGAAATACCTGAGACAGGTATGCAGCTTATTCCATCCCCTCAAAACCATGTTGTTTTAAACATCCAGTTTGCTCCAGTTGTGCCCATATTCCTGGCTTCCTGAAAGCTGACATTGCTCTCTAAGATATGAGTGTATTCATCCTTATCTATTAACAGTCATCTGGTAAAGTACTTAGTTTTTTGTAATTGGCCTTCCCAAATCCGTTCAAATGAGTTGATGGCTGTTGATTGTCATCAGTTAGGTGACGGAAAAGGATGGCAAACCAGTGAATAAGCCACGAGTTGGGTTTGGAATTACTCCCGAAGGTAGGCAGAGGAGATTTAACGTTTATGAAGTGAACTTCTTTGCAACCAGATGCATGTGCAATGGTCACGGTAACGACTGTCGTCCCGTGGGAAGTTATGGTTCAAACCCCAAGTTGGTGTGTGTCTGCGATCCTGCCCATCACACCGCCGGGGACAACTGTGAGAGGTGCGCCCCAGGCTATGTAGACGTGCCCTGGCAGCCGGCTACCCCTGACAATGCTTACGCTTGCAAAGGTGTCTTGACTTTTCTTCAGCTATCTTATCTCTTTCAGTGTAGTCAGAATACCACTCTCTAATTTCCTCTACCATTAATTTTTTTACCAAAGAGATCTTCCATAAATGTTTGTATATACAAGATTTAATGACTGAAGTAATGCAAAAGATAAGACCTAACCAAAGATGGGAGTACTGTTGATCCAAATGATTATCATCCAATTAGAAATTACCGTCTTTTGATAAACAAGGTTGCTGCTGTAGTTTCTTTCTGATCAATACTGCTTATATGTCTTGCATTGTCTTCGAAATCATCACTCTTCAGAGTCATCTAAGTGAGATGCAAGTGGTTGGAAATCTTTATTAGGTATATCAAACCATTGTAAGGTGACGAGTAACCCTTATTTAAGTCTGCGAGTGCAATGGCAACTCGGAACACTGCGAATTTGATGAGAGCGAATACCAAGCGACCGGATCGGGTGGGATCTGTATTGGCTGCGGCAACAACACGATGGGAAAGCACTGTGAGACTTGTCTTCCGGGCCACTACCCCGATCCCGATCGGCCCTCTGTCTGCCTTCCATGCAGTTGCGATCCTACAGGAACGCTAGAGGGTGGAGAGTATAAGTGCTCCTCCGACGGGCAGTGCAAATGCAAGCCAGGTGTTGGGGGGAAACGCTGTGACCACTGCCTTCCCGACCACCATTCATTCACCTCTAGTGGTTGTCAGTAAGCACACAGTTTGAACCTTTCCACTACTACCTTCCATACTTCGTAATCATGCTTATCTGTCATCAACGAAATCTTCAGACCTTGTGATTGTAACGCTGGCGGGAGCTTAAACAATCAACCTTATTGCGATCCCTACACGGGTGACTGCAATTGCAAAGACAATGTGATCGGCAGGAAATGTGATAGGTACGCTACTTATCAGGCAAAAGTAGGTGTCATTTTAACAACTAACGTTTACGAGTAATTGATTTTTAAGGTGTAAACCTGGTACATTTGGAATGATGGACAACGATCCCCTCGGTTGCAAAAAGTGTTTCTGCAGTGGACACTCATCAGATTGTACACTGGGACGCGAGATTAGTGGAGATGTTGTATTGAGTAAGTTTTGCTCAGATCATAAGAGTGGAGTTAATTACGAATTCCATCGTCTCACCATTGTCCACTCCGATTCGCCTAGTGGAAGAGAACGAACTTAAAGAATATGAAGCCGAGAGGAAAGTCATTTTCAGCTGTCCTAATGGGACAAGTCCCTGCTCTGTCTGCTTTAAGCAAGGTAAATTAGGTACAATTTTCATCCAATAATTCTTTTTTGGTCTTGTCTTCAATACGGGTTTTACTCATAATTGAACTTTTAACAAGACAATTTTGGAATTCATAAGTTTACCACACATGCGCATGGATTTACATCTATTTTTTCAGACAAAAAGACTTTGGATATTGGATGTACTCAAAATTACAAAGGGGAACTTGAATGCCTCTGCCGAGAAAGGCCAAATGATTGTCCATTCTGTCCCAGTGGAGGTTTGCAATAGTCTCTTCCTTTGTTCAGTACCAGCATCAACTTCCTCTATTTGCTATTCAAGAATTGCACATTTTGTGAAGTTTAAACCATGTTCTCATCACTCACTTTAGTGTGGCTTGATCCTCAAGAAGAATTTCGGAAGGAAATCTGCCAATGCCCTCAAGGTTACACCGGTTCAAGTTGTGAACAGTGTGTACAGGGCTATCGGCGTGAGCCAATCGGTGGTCCCACAACAGCTATATGCATTCCCTGTACCTGCAACAATAACTCCAAAATCTGCGACCCTGAAACAGGTACATTACCCCTTAACGAATCCTAAACCTTATTTGAATTAATACAGTCTTTAGTTATCTAAGTAGTGAGGTATCGTTTAAATTTTGCGTACCCTTTGTGTTTCATTTTGTTCAGGTAAATGCGAATGCGAGCATAATACTGGCGGCCTCTTCTGTGATCGCTGCGCTGATGGTTACTACGGTAATGCGTCCGCTCCCCCCGGTACCAAAGATGCTTGCAAACCCTGTCCTTGTCCCCAAGGTGCCAAGTGCGTGGAAACATTTCTCCCTCTGGACAAGCACGTCGTAGTTTGTGTCGACTGTCCAAATAATATGACAGGTAAAATTGTATCAAAACTCTATCTTTATTCATCACATCACCACTTCACTGCTTGTTCCCTGCATTATATTTAATCAAAAAGTATCTTCGGTCATTTGGAATTGTATTTGTTCAGACATGGAATTTGCATTTGGATTCACTTTTGTCAATGCACCTTCGAACATGGGCTGGGGTATTTTCCCTCCTTAAATGACTCCAGACGTTAATAAACGGGGAAGCATCAGGTTAAATGATTCCAATGGTTGGGCCATTATTCGCTGTTGTACATTACGGAGGTTAATAAATGTTGCCATTGGTTACGATTTAATGATCTGATTAGCTGAAAGCCTGTTGAATAATTTTGACTATGTTTTTTTAGAGTGGCATGGCTCCGTATTCACTTCCTTTGAAATTTTTGCATCCTGATTGGTAGTGCTAGAGCAAGTAACTGATCTGGGTTAATTTATTGTTCCCCAGCATTCACAACACTCCTCCGCCTAAATTTGCACTTTTACAATGCCACAAACTTCACCAAAGGTTTCATCAATTTACTTATTTGAATGCAATTTTGTACAACACTTTTCTATCACACCGACCCCAGCTTTAGTTGAATGCTGTCATTTCGTCTCTATTTCCCCTTTTTGCCTGCTCAGGAGTACTTGAGTTACCCTCCCTGCGAAAAAGTTGACTGGCACACATCAGATTGCCATTTTACGAAACCTTTTGTCCAAGCGAGAAGTACCACTTTAAAACGCCTCGGCTAGTTGATTTATCTTTTTTAGTCACCAATCGAAGGTGTCAGCAAAACTGAACTAATCCGCCAACTACAATGAGGATTGTGGCC